TGTCTTGTCCATGTATGGTTTGTTCCAGTAGCCCACTTATCGTCAGATTGTCCTGGTTCCCTAACATCTGACGCAGACCTTGTTAATCCGGGCGACGTCCGAGCCACCATGACTCTCTTAGTTCGTGTCATTCTCATATTTGAGGTAGGCAGGTGAGGCTTTAGGAGGTCTTTGCCCAAGGACCCTACTGGCAAGGTTGGTACCAGCCAGGATTTGAACCCCACTCTCCTGCATCAAGGGCAGTACTCTAACCACTATGCTATCCAGCCGGTCATATACCTATATATCTTTCCAGATAACCATCCTTTCATGAAGTGCATTTTTCATTCCAAAAGCAGTAGAACCAACTGGTCTGGTACATTTGCTTTAAATGCAGATATTGAGAGTACCTCCACACACACATGACACCAGGGGAGGGAAAACAAGGGTGCAATCTTTCAATTTATGCTCCATCCCTGTGTAACAGTTTGCCCTCTGAAATTTGGATGGCCCACTCCTTGACAATATTTCAAAAGCCAGTCAGAATGGAACTTCTCTGCAGAGCTTTTAATTAGTTAATGATGGCTTTAGTGTGGAGCTGGTCACTTAATATGGATGCCAGGAGACAATGGGATGATGTTTCATTGATTTTACCTTTTTAAGGATTTTATGTTTATTTTGTTGTAAATTCTTAGGAGTCCCTGTGGAATCAGTGGTGGTATATAAATAAGACAGACCATCAGACATCTTTTCTTTATATACACTGAACATCAGGTAATGACATTGAATGGAGAGATGCCAGTAAAGAGTCATATAGTTAAATACATGATTTAACTATATGAGTTAAATTCTAAAGAGATTTTAATACCCCTTAAAGCACCTGAAGCACCTGGCCTCAAGGATCCCAGGCAATCTCCAGATAAAATAATGAAGATAAAAGAAGATCAGAGTTGAGCAAAATATATGGATGGGCAATTCTTTTGGCCACACACCATCCTTGTTTCTTTATTTTCTTAATATTTAAATAGAAAGGTGAGCTGCACACCCAAATAATCACTTCAGAGGGTCATATCATACCTGCTGTTTTCATTTCCCATCATAGATGTTTCTCCCCCCCCCCAATAAAATATAATTAGGAAACAGTTCCTGTATCTACTCTCAGTGTTCCTTTTTGTTCCGGTAGTTGTTTTTCCCTTTTTTTTCAGTGGCCAAAATTTTACAAATGAAGTAATATAAAATTTTAAAATGAAATTCAATTTAAATAATGAATAGCTACATTAGCACAATAACTGACTAAATAAAAGAAGTTTTATGACAGGCAGTTCTCTGCAGGTCATGCACTTATTTTGCAGCAAATGGGACTTTATTGTTTGAGAACATGTCCCCAAAATAATTTACATTTTTTGCTAATTTGCTTTAATATATATTTTGAAGACTAATTATATATATAATTAGATAGATAGATAGATAGATAGATAGATAGAT